CAGACATCCCCGACATCTTATGCATTCTGCCTAGCCACCCAGCACCACCTCCGAGACACTGGGAGTACCCCAAAGGGATCTTTGCAGAGCTGCAGTGTGGGCACCTGGCTCCTCCACCTGCTGTCTACTTTCCTTTAGTGAATAGGCAGATTCAGGCAGACTCATTTCTGGAAAGAATGCAGCCCTAGATGACTGTACTGAAACTTCATCAAAGGTGTCTAGATTACTAAAAAGATGCTCTGGCAGTTAGTTTTCTAGGAAGTCTAACGAATGCAATATAAGGCTTGATGAACCCATGATTAAGAAGCAAGATAGATGATGATGATAGATAGATAGATAGATAGATAGATAGATAGATAGATAGATAGACAGATAGAAAGATAGAAAGAATAAATAGATGCTGTGACAATGAAGAAGGGTATCTAAAAGGAATTTTAACATGGGCATTGGAAAGAAGCAAAGAGTAAATGAATCTGGAGCAAATTTGTACTCTATGAAAACAAAAGCACTTTGACCTTGCTTGAGGTCAGTGTCTGAGGATATAAATTGTATGGATCAGACCCAAGCCTTACAAAAGCTCCACAAATCCTTTCCTTGCCAAAAACGGGGACAATCTCACCCTCTTCCAGCTTTCCTGAAAGGAAATTAAATGATCTCCAATTTTGGTGCTATTCGTTTATCCCTTGAATTTTGACAAAATGAATGAAAGAAAATTACAAAAAGAAAATCTGACAGCTAACTAGAAAGATTTTCTGGTGACTGTCCAAGGCTTTGGTGTTTGTGTTGCTGCCTCCCCAAGAAGGCTTCTACACTGTGGTTTTCCCCAGGTCTCTCAGAGGATCCAAACAATGTCAGAAAAAATTTACACCAATCATTAATGCTTTTCATTTTACTAGATCATGGGGAAACCCCAAGATTATACACATCTCTTTCCCTGAAGGAAATAGGAGCTCCAAAACACTACATACAAAAAGCCTTGGCTAAGATTTTAAAGGCTCTCAGGACAGGGTTACAGAGAAGAAAAATGCACACCCACCTCACAGGAAGAAAATGTACAAAAAGGAATTTATTACAAGAAATAAAGCATGTGTAAAACACTGAATTGGTTACTTAAAATATAGGGCAGCACAATTGAGCCAACACTCTTGGCACAGGTATGGGAGAGTCATCCCCAAAACTGTGACCATAGGAGAGCTGGCCCCATTACCCCTCTGTCTTGCGGCAACAGGGGCAGGGGAGAAGTGACCCCCTCATGTACCCATCAACACTGGAGGCAGGGGGGAGAGCTGGTCTTGTGGTCACAAGAGTGGGAGACCCATCCCTGATTCCCACCATCAGCAACACTCGGGAGAGCAGGCCCTGCACCTCACCGGGGCAGCACAATAGAGCTAACCCTGTTAGGCTGTAGGTGAGCCAGCCATGAAATTGTAACCATGGGAGAGCTATCCCCATCTCCCATCTGGCAGACCAACCCTACAGCTTCCCAGGCCCAGACCCAGAGTTATGAGTTGGCCTGTCCAAACATCCACCCCCATCTATGATCTGCTGGAGCACATGAAGGGATCTGACCCACAGACACAAAGCTGCAGGATCTCCACAACACAGGAAGCCAGTGGGATATCCAGGAAGAGTCCTAGTGGGGACCCAGCATCCAGCATGTAGTGGAGATCAGGGACTTTGAACTAGACCAAAAACTCTTTGCAATGAACACACTTGCAAGCGGAGATGTATGGACAAGGGGTATATGCTGTGACTTGTTGGGTTGCACTGTAACTTCCATGATGAGAGTTCTAATTTCTTACCCTTTTTTATTTTTCTCATTTTATTTTATTTGGTTTTTTTCTCTTTAATATTATTTTATGAGAGGGGGTGCAGGGATGAAGAGCAGATGCAAAGAAGTGGGAAATGAATGGTAAAAAAAATTACATATAATCTATTGTAGTAGCAGCTGTGGGCCGCTTCCCGCCTCCCAGCTCCCGGCCGCCAGCTAACTAACCTATCAGGCCAAGCAGTTTATTAATTAACCAGTGAAAGCAACATTGATATATGACACTCCCACATCAATCTATAAGGGCTGGAGAGATGACTCAGCAGTAAAAAGCACTGGTTGCTCTTCCAGAGGGCCTGGGTTTGATGCCCACCTCCTACATGACTGTTCACAGTTGTCTGTAACTTGAGTTCCAAAAGGTCCAGTGTCCTTTCCTGCTACCAGGCACAGATGTGATAGGCAAAACACTCATACTACACGCAAAAAATACAATAATAAAATAATTTTAAATACATATATAGCCTACAAGAACTTAATAGAAATGGAAAGCCCTGAACTTTCTTCTGATCTGGCCGAGTTTTAATAAGATCTGCCGTTTACTGGATTTTGAGACACACCCCCAGATTCTTTAAGTCCCTTTATCTCTCCTGCCCCAAATGACTGTAACACAGCTTTAACTGCCATATCAGGTAAAGACAGGCCTAACTGCTTCAAAAAGTATCTGGGGGGTGGAGGACAGTGGGTAAAGAGCTTTTTGATTGCTTTTTTTTTTTTAAACTGAGGTGTTTCAGAGAGCATTATGAAACTACTCACACTTGTACGGGAAAAGGAGAAATGGGTATTTCAATTACTGATAGGTTTGATATAAGTGAAATGACTAACAGCTACCAAACCTGGCTGGAAGAAAAATGCAAAACCTGAAAGTAAGAAAATATCCCAAGTTAGCAATGACATCAAGAGAAGCATCAAGACAGTCAAGTGCTGTGTCTAATAACAACCTGTCTAAGATACCACAATTAAGAAAAACGGGTAGAAATAAGAATATAAAGAAGGACCAGACCCATTCAAGTTCTAGAAAAACATTATTTAGAGGGTCCATTGGTTTCCCCAAAGCATCTTCTGCAAGACCCAACAGGCCAGAGAAACAAGGCTCATTCTTCTTAGAAATAAAATATCAGATAGCTACTTAGCAGTGGGACATGTGATAGGCTAAAGCACTCTCTAGCTATGCCCAGAACTTCACAACACAACTATCTATGAAATCCCTGCCTCATAAACACCTCAGAAAAAAAAAGCGCTAAGAATGACCAAAATGTGATTTTGACTGTTTTTCTTCTATTTTTTGTAGTCAAATACAGTTTCAACGAAGGCCTCTCTGACTAAGAGAAGTGAGAGATTAAAATTTCGTTTTCATTTTACCTAATTACTTATATTAAACTGAGGTTCAGTTATTGTAAAACCTTTAGGTATGTTGAAAGCAATCAGAATACATGAATTCCATATTCCAGGTGTGTAGCAATCCGATGTTCTGACACAAACTATAAGTGGACAACAATAGCCCAGATATTAAATATGCATGTGAGAAGAATACAAAACATTTCAGTATTTTTATATTTACTATGTGTTAAATAGATAAATTAAAGATATTGATATAAATGAAATATATTAAAAGTATGCTGAAATTAAATCAGTCTAACTAAAAGGAGTATTGCCTAATTTCGTTTATATGGGAAATCTAATAATTTTCTTTTGATTTCTCTCTACAAAAGGAGAAATATTTTTATAGATAGAAAAATGGTTGCAGGCAAGGTGAGAGACAGAAATGGAGCAATAGGGGTCAAAAAGAAACAAATCAGTCTATCTAAAAGCAACAGCGCTAAAGTCTGACATACAGTGTGAAGACCGCTGCCACGTGAAGACCACTGCCACTGGCAATACATCGTAGTCAGGATTTCTGTTAAATGAGCTAATTATTGTTCTCACCACAGGAAGAAAAAAGGGGCAGCTATGTGAAATGTTAATTTGTTTCACTCTGTTAACTTTTTACTACATCCTTGAATCTTGTACTCTCATGGTATATATCTTAAATATGCATAACAGCTTTATATGGACACGAGTGTTTCTGTGTGTAAGGAAGCCAAGGGGCAGCCTTAGGGGTTATCTTCAGGAATGTCATCAGCCTTCTTGACAGGGTCTCTCATTGGCTAGACTGCCTGGCCAGTGAACCCCAGGACCCCCTGTCTCTGCCTACCCAGCGCTGGGGCTACATACAAGTGTGTACCACCATACACGACTATTGCTGTAACTTAAAAAGCAGCTCAAGAGAGAAAGACGCCGTGAGACAGAACTCACATGGAGGGGTTTTTATTAAGGGAAAAGGGAACATAAAAAGGGGGAGGGGAAGACTGGCCTCTGGGAACAGGAGCAGTAGAATTGAAGAGAGAGGCAGAGAAAGATGCAGGAGACAGAGGGACAGGCAGAGAGAGATGGGAAGTGGGCAGGGCCATTTTAAAAGGGAACATAGTGAATGTGCACCGGAGGTGCTCTTAGTGGCTGCAGCTGAGAACATATCCTGTCAAAACCCCAAGGGGAAGCCAGTACAGATGCCTGAATACTAACAGCTATGTTATGTGGGTACCAGGACCAAACTCAGACCCCACCACTTGCAAGGCAAGTATGTACCAACTAAGCCACCCCTTTATGCTCACAATAATATTTTTCATTGTTCTTTGTTTTTTTTTTTTTTCAAGACAGGGTCTCTTTGTGTAGCCCTGGCTGTCCTGGTTGTCGACTAGGCTGCCCTCGAACTGACAGAGATCCACCTGCCTCTGCCTCTTGAGTGCTGGGATTAAAGATATGCTCCACTCAATCACAATAACATTTTTTTTAACAATCTTAATTTATATACTAATCCCATTTCCCTCTCCCTCTGGTCCTTCTGCTACCCTCACTTTCTCCCCATCCAACCCCCATTCACTCCTCAGAGAAGGTGAGGCCTCCCATGGGGAGTCAACAAAGTCTGTCACATCACTTGAGGCAGGACCAAGGCCCTCCCCACTATACCTAGGCTGAGCAAGGTGTCCCTCCACAGGGAATGGGCTCCAAAGAGCCAGCTCATGCGCTAGGGCCCCACAAACTACCCAAGCCACACAACTGTTACCCACATTCAGTGGGCCTAATTCAGTCTTATGCAGGTTCCCCAACCGTCAGTCCAGAGTCAGTGAGCACCCACTTGTTCAGGTCAGTTGTTTCTGTGGGTTTCCCCATCATGGTCTTGGTCCTTTTGTTCATAACATCGCTCCTCCTTCTCTATGACTGCACTCCAGGAGGTCAGCCCACTGCTCCGCTGTAGATCTCTGCCTCTGCTTCCATCAGTTGTTGAATGAAGGTTCTATGATGACAATTAGGGTAGTTATCAATCTGACTACAGGGAAAGGGCAGTTAAGGAACCCTCTCCACTATTGCCTAGATTCTTAGCTGAGGTCATTCTTGTGGATATCTGGAGATTCTCATACTACAAGAACATTTTCTCAACTATGTTCATAGTTGCATTATTCATAATACCCAGAACCTGGAAACAACATAGATGCCCCACAACAGAAGAATGGATAAAGAAAATGTGGTACATTTAGACAATGGAGTACTATTCAGTGGTTAAAAAAAAACAATGACATCTTGAAATTTGCAGTCAAATGGATGGAACTAGAAAAAAATTATCCTGAGGGATACAGAAAGACAAACAAACACAGTGTGTACTTACTTATAAGTGGATATTAGACATAAAGCAAAAGATAACCTGAATATAGTCCACAGAGAAGACGGGAAACAAGGAGAAGCCTGAGAGGAATATACATGGATCCCCCTGGAAAGAGGAAATAGAAAATATCTCCTTAGTAAATTGGCAGTGTGGGTTGGGGGCGGGGGAAGGGGAAGGGAGGAGAACATGAGGGATCAGGAAGATTAGTTGGGTGAAGGACAGAGAGGGAGAGCAAGGAAAGAGGGGGCCATTATGGGGTTATCAGGAAACCAGGCAACTAGGAAAATTCACAACATTTTTAATTAAATAAGCTTATCTATTCTCCATAACTTTGCAGCATATCTATACTTTTACTTATACAGGTGGCTTATATTTCCTGTAGACAGCCTTGCTCTGTGCTATTCTGAAAGAATCTATTATTTTATTTGTTTATTTATGTTCAACAAAGGAACAGAACATTGTTCAATTTGGGAGTATTAGTATTTGGCTTTTCTATCAAGCAAACCTAGCTTAAGAAAGACACAAACTCTCCAAAAATAGCAAGACTGTCACTTCTCCCTACCTTGCCCATTCCCCAGGCACTGTACAAGATGGAACGGAGCCTTGTTCATGCAGACACATAAATACCCTGTTCTCCATCACTTCCCAGCTCTACAGTGAAAGCATTCAGGAATGTATTCTACAAAGAGGAAGTCCCATCTCCTTCTGCTCCTCTGTTTCAGCTGAATAGAGCATCCTCAGCTGGCCCTTCTCCTTTGCTGCTGCTGCTGTCTGTGGAAAGGACTGGTCATGGAAGAACACCCTCAGCCTGTTCCTCCATGCCTGTCCTCCAGAAGCAACATGCACTGGCAAGCCTGTTCCAGTAACAACATTATGGCTGGTTCTCACCCTCTCCCTACCAAATGAAGACCCGAAGCTCACAGCCTGGGTTTCCGGTTTTAAGAAACAAGCTTGGAGCATGCCAGTCCTTGACCAGCTCCTGTTCATCCTTCCAAATGCTGCTAAGAATTCCTCCTTACAGGAAACCTTCCTCAAGACCAACAGTTGACACTCAGAATCATCTTCTCTACCATTGTCCTGTCCAGGAAATGTCATCACAAGTGTTCTTACAGCTCCCACCTCACCACAATGGCGTCTGTAATAAAAGTACACCTACATCTTTAGCAGGGGGTGCACACCAGTCATCCCAGCTCTGAGAAGCTGAGACAGAGAGATCTCAGGTTGGAGGCTAGCCTGGGCTACACGGGGAGACCTTGAAAGCAGAGGGGTGGAAGAGAGGAGGAGGAAAAGGAGAGAGGGAAAAGAGGGTGAGTGGAGAGGGAAAAGAAAAGGAGAGGAAGACGGAGAGAAAGGACATGGAGAACTGGGAACAGAAGGAAACAAAGTGAAACTGGAAGCCTGCGGATAGTGTGCTACCATTGTGGGGGACCACGTGGCTCCAAAAGGCTCCCCTGCACCCACCCCTCCTCGGGGCTTAGGCTAGGAATAGTTCTGAGATTCCTTTTAAGCCAGCTTCTTTACATAATACAAGTCCAGCTTGTCTTTTTTCTTCTAAATTTGTTTTATTTGAGACTGCATTTACCAGTATGATATATACAGGTAAATATATTGACCATGCATGCAAAGTGAAGCAAAACATCTCTCTTCAATTTGAAGTATGGTCTTCAGATTCTAAGAATCCAATATTAAAATTCCCCTGCTGCACTCAGTGACTGTACACCTAACCTACGATGCATTTTCACTTGCATGGTCTCATTTCAGCCACATGAACATAGGTTTTCAAAACAATTTAAAGTAGACATAGATTTTTGTTTAATACACTCCTTGATGTTTATGGATTCATGAGGTAAATAGAAAGTTTCTGGTAGCTAAATGGGATAACAAGTTTTTTTTTTTCACATAAAAAAAAAAACTAATGATGTTACAAACAGGCCATTCTGGAGGCTTTCCAAGAACTGCCACTCACTTCCAGTTAACAGAAATTACACCAGTGTATTCTTAGAAATCCCTATGTTCTTTTCTTGCTGCAAAGGGCTGGGGGGGGGGAGTATTGCTCTTTGAGGTGGTGAATATCAAATACAAGTGATTTGGTGTGAAAACGGAGGGGATTTTTACTACTATACATAGTTTCTCAGAAAAGGCACACAAATTCTCTTAGAAATATTTTGAAGAGGTATGTAACGGATTTACAATGCCCAGATAATTTTCGTATAAATTATTTATTTCTTGAGATTAGAACAAGATTATATAATTTCCTCCTTCCTTTTCCTTCCCAAGCTGTCCCATTTGTCCTCCTTACCCCTTTTCAAATTCATGGTCTCCTTTTTCGTTAATTGCTATTACACACACAGACGTATACATATGTAAAACTAAATACACAAGTGTAATCTGCTCAGTTTGTATGACATTAATTATAGTGTTACTTGCCTATAGGTTTCCAGGGCTAATCTCCACCCTGAAGACTAACTTTCATGGACCAGAAGTCACTATGCAAGCTTCTAAAGAAGGGAAGCAACCAACTCTCTTAGCCAGCTATGATGCCTACGAACCACATCAATGGCCAGCATGCAGCAATAACCCTAAGGGTGAAGTGGCACACATATGTTGGCAGCAACCAACAGTTCTCTAGCAAGATTTCAGACATGCCCAACAAGAGGAAAACCATGCCTGATACTAGAAACCTAGTCAACCACCTGAGGCTAGTGAAGTCGTGGATCTTGGAGAAGAAGCTATAATCACTGCTTTATTAAACCAGCGTAATTCCTAACTACAATCTAATACATGTCCTTATACTCACAGGTAAGTGTGCTCCTCACCCCTCATGAAGAAAAGTTCTCTTTGCAATAGACCATTGGTGTGGGAGAATGATCTGTAGTCTGTCAATCATGTATTTTAATAAAACGCTGATTGGCCAGGCAGGAAGTATAGGCGAGAAAACCAGACAGGAAGTAGAGGTGGAAAAAAGAGAACAGGAGTATTCTAGGAAGCAGGAAGCTCCCGCTCCCATTCCAGCCCCGATCACCAAGAAGCAAGATGTAACATGCCTGGCTGAATGGTACTGAGCCATGTGGCTAACATAGATAAGAATAATGGGTTCGTATAAGCTACAAGAGCTAATAAGTAGCCTGAACTAATGGGCCAATCAGTTTTATAACTTATGGAGATCTCTGTGTGATTTTCTTTGGGGCTTGCTGGCTGTGGGGTACCAGGTGGGACAGAAACCTTAAGCAAGCAGGCCCTCATGTTACAGACCATTACAAAAAAACTACAATCAATCAAAATGCAGGGTTGTAGAGTCCCAGTGGAGAAAGATACAGTACAACTCCTGCACCTAAGGCTCAAGGAACATTTTGGAAAGATTATTAAGAGCCAGAAAGACAGGGAGTTGCTGTGAGATTGTGTCTCCTGTGAATGTCAAGAATTATACCCACAAAGTCTCATATAATTTTTTGAATTGTAAAAACACGGTTCTAAAAATTAACAATGCTTTATAGTGAAAGGATCATTTCCTTGGTTTAAAAAAAAACAAAAACAAAAACAAAAAAACTTAGGCCGACTCTCTGTTTTTAATAGTAAAGGTTTTTTTTCTTATTTCTTTATCTGACTATCAGACAGATACTGTGTCCTTGTCTCCTGTACAGAGTTTAAAGACAGGCTTAGTTTCACAGAAACTATTAAGAAGAAAAAAATAAGACATTAAGAGAGATATACAAAGTAATTTATATTGTGGAAAAAAAAATGACCTGTGACACTACCTTTCAGCGCCAATTGTACCCTGTGGGCATTGGCTTCTACACCTAAGTTCTTAACTCTTGAAGATTTTCACGCTTGATACATCCTATCACTCTCAATGAACTAAGATAATGGTGTTATCCCTAACTTTGCCATAAGTAAATAACAAGTCTAGAGAGTTAAATGATGTCTCCAAGCACACAAATGTGTGACAAACCCTGTCACATTACCTTCTGTACAAGCAAGATTGTAAATCCATGGTACCTCTTTCTGCTGGCTATCAACTTTGCAAGTTAGAATGTCCTACGGTCTTGCTGCTTTGGTTCTTTGGTACCTAACATATCATTTGACCATAGTACAAAGGGAAACTTACTGAGAATCTGTTGTCTAATAGTATTGACTTAGGTTGTGCTAGAAGCAATCCCTGTATGGGGCAGTCCTTGGATGGAGATACCACTGTTCTCGTGTTACTAATAGAAAAATATTAAGGTGTGGAGAAGTTGTCTGTGAAAAAATCACCTAGGTAACAATGATTAGAAAGGAAGTGGAGCCTTGGCTCTCTAACTGCTGAGTTCACATCTAAACTAAACCTTCCTAGGACTTTTCAAAGATTGCAACAGAAATCTCAACTTTCAAGCAACAAAACAACTTGTAGGTCAACAGAATTAGTAGTAGACCAGAGCTGTTCTCCACAAAACCAGAGAATTGCCTTGTTCATGAAAATTAATTAAAGAATTAAATGCTTACAATTTCTTTTATAAAACAAAATCAGTAACTATGAGGGATAAAATGCCTCTTAGGACAGTTACATGTTCAATAGCCCATTCTGAACTCCCCTGCTATGTCTATCTTAGTTTATAAGGTGACTAAGCTGTTAGGTGTGGTAGGGAACACTTAAAACTCCAGAACATAAAACAGGGGACATAAAAGCAGGAGGTTTGTAAGCCAAGGGCCAGCCTGACTTCTATAAAGTGTTTCAGCCAAGCCTGCACTCCTTAACAAGATGCTGTCTCCCAGTGAGAATCCATGAGGTGTTCTCAGGAAGTCTAACACCTCTCTGTTCTCCAGGGGCGAGTTTTGTTACTCTACGACTCCCATACATTGCCTCAGCTCTGTCAGATATGAGTTCCATTCACAGGCTGTGTGTCACAGGGCTCTTGCCTTTGCCTGGGAACTCTATATCCTTCCTTGCTGCTCTAGAAAATGCTGACCTATTGACCCAAGTATTGCTCCCCCTTGAAAATTTCCTTGATTACAGTTTTCCTCTCTAACCAAATGATTTAGACCTTCCCACCTGACTTGACTGGATGCCTTGTCATAATGCAGCATTAATTGGCTTCCATGCCTTCTCCTAGAGGCTGGCGGCATTTGCAGAGCAAGAACCTTGGCATCTTTTTGTCTCCATGGCCGAACACAGCATCTGGAATGGAAACCATTCCATAAATTCCAATGACTCGAACAATCAGCCAACCCATGAATTCCAATTCCTCCTCACAACATTATTCTCCTAATCTTTAGCCTAAAGTGCACAACTTAAAATAATGTATCTCCTTCTTATATCCAACTCTAAGTGCCTGACAAGAATATATTTACTTTTGTATATTTCTATAAAGAAGAATGACCAAGCTTTCTAAACCATTGTCAGGACAATTCCATCCTAGCTCTGGCTATATGTGAGTATATAACCTACAATAACCACAAATACAAAGAAAGTAAAAAAGGGACCATGTTGGGGGAGGTACAGGAACTCTGGAAAAGGGTAGGGTAAGGAACAGGGGTAGGTAACCCTAAGGATGTTTTTTACAGCCACATGGAGTTATATTACTTTATGTGTAATGGAAATAACCTACAATATATATGAGTATGTGCATACATGTACATATAAAATTTAATTGAAGTTATACCGGTTGGGATGACACACCCCACAAAAACCATCATAGACTTCCTAACAAAAGTCCCAGCACCAGGAATGGGAATCCTCCTTTACAGTTGTTGGTCAGGGCATGTAAGGAACTCCCAAAGTCATATAGGCTACTGCCACTTCCCTAGGTTGCATTCCAGACAATGGAAGTAAAACCCTACTGCTGAAGGCACCTCATGCTTCAGGCACAGGGCTTGAAGAAACAGAGCTAGACACAACCTGGAAGCTTCCCCACTGACTACTAGCTTTCACTATACTTTCTGGTTTTAAAAAAAAGCAATCAATACTCCTATCCAGCTGTAACAGTTACAAACCAAAACAATGGCCACGATGACAAGCTATCCCAAAAAGTGCAATAGTAGCACTTAAACACTGGGGATGACAAATGGCCACCTCCACAGAAGGGACCTCATGGTTGGCACGGTAACCAACACAACTGTGGATGGCTGGTGAGGCCCTGGAACCCACAGAAAAGCCTATTACTGCCACCTTCCTAAGCCAGCACCATTTCTGTGTTTGAGATACTCATTCTTATACCTGCAGATAAGAGTGCATTTCTCACCCATCACCAAAGACGCTTCTTTTAGCAGTAGACATAGAGTAACAGTTGGTCAAAAACACAGAGAACAACTGACTGAGTGGTTCCTGTTCCCAGCTGGTACACCTACAACATTGCGGCAGAGGGGGTGGAAGGACTGGAAGGACCAGAATATCAGGCCATCTGCTGTGGGATACATAAGACTGAAAAGCTGCACCCATGAAATCTCAACAGTACTCCTGCCCAAAGAGGACTTGAAAATGACAAGTGATATTCTCTCTGATGAGAAAACCAGGGTGGATTTTATACAGTGAATGGGGTTTTGTTGAGCACGTAAGTTGTCCCACTAAAAGGTATCCCCCACCCAGAAGCGGCAACACTGAAATGCCAACAGTGATATGGGAAATCTCACAAGATGCCATTCCTAGATCAAGAGCTACAGGCAATTAATTGAGATTGCTTAAAGAGGGAGAATTAGTCTCCCCAAGGGACAAGGCCCCTGGGTAGATTATCCAATCCCAAAGTGGACAGCCCTAACTAAACACGCATGTGTGTGAGCAACATTAAATGTATTCAGCTAGTTATATTTATAAATATACACGTATGTGTGAGAAATTAATAAATAACATGAGGCCATGAAGTTAAGAAGGAGTGAGAAGGGAAAGGAAAATGAGGCCAATGTAGTATTCATATATGGAATTCTCAAAAAAATAAAGACTGTTTATTTGGTTTTCATAAAGTAAATGAGAATCCACCAGCGCTGAACCTGAGGCACCAGAACACTAGAGCAGTGTTTCCGATTATCCACATATTACATATGACAATATGTATCTCAGACAATCATCGTCCTAGGAGGTCTCTGATGAGAAAACCAGGGTGGATTTTATACAGTTAATGGGGTTTTGTTGAGCGTGTAATTTATCCCACTAAAAGGTATTCCCTACCCAGAAGGGGCACTTTGGCTGAAAAGAAAATGCTGTGTGCTTCCAGAAATAGATATGTAATCATAATATTCCTTCTGATTCCTCCACTCCCCAGAGATTTCTCAGAGGCTATTCTGCTAAGGGAAATCGGGGGAGAAACGGTGCTGCAGGACAGGGGCCAAGGTGGGGGTTACCACTTCACACACCCCACGTGTCTCTTACCTCAGTGTAGAGTCTAAATGGCCCAAAATGGAAAAGAAAGGTAATGAGTAACGATGAGAAAGAACACTTCACTGCCCTTGCTTTGGTTTCAGTGGTGGGCATCTGATGACATCAACTTACCCACAGGATCTCCTAAAACACGGGCTCCTGGAATGAAGTCACTGTATCGTAACCAACTGTGCTTCTGACCTGCCTGTGGCCACTCCATACTAGAGTCCACCTTACAGGCCATTTAGTGACTTGTCCACCATGTCACTGCCAATCTTGACTAGGACCATCATTCTCAGTAGAAGATACTTTCTACTGTGGTTCGGAGGTGGTTTGAATGTGTGCCCAAAGGCGCATGTATTAAAACTTAATCCCTATTGTGGCATACTTAGAGGGTAGAAACTTTGGAACATGACAGGACTAAATAAGGTCTTTAGGGTAAAAGCCTTCATGATTGAAACCTGATAGCTTTAGAGAAGGGAGAGAGGCCAGAGGAAATAATCACACACACACACATGCTCACACACTCTCTCACACTTAAATACACACACAGACTCACACACACTCTCACACAAACAATCACACACTCACACACTATCCCTCCCCCTCTCCCTCTCTCTCTCTCTCTCTCTCTCTCTCTCTCTCTCTCTCTCTCTAACACACACACAAACACACACACACCCTTACTCAAACAATGCCTTGGCCCACCAGAGAACTCTTGCAGCAGGAAGGCCATTTCAGAGGAAGCCTCCTGATCTTGGACTTTCAGAGCTAGGAGTCAAAGTAACTCTCTTTGCATCATTATGCTGCCCACCCCCAGGTATTTTGTTATATTAAAGTAATAAAAATTCCAAGTCTGATGGTATTTTATTTGATTGATTATTTATGATTTGAGGAAACAAATTCAGAAATAATGTGTCCTCATTTACTATAAGATCCCATCCAGGACTGTAACTCCGTTATTGCCATTGCAAAACCACAAAGAAACTAGTGGTTATGCCTCTAGAGGAAAGCTCAGCACGGGTCTCTAAAGAATAATGCGCTTACTTTGCAGCTATGGAACAAGTACACTCTTAGAATGCTTTAGTGACTGTGTGCTCTCAAACCAAAGCTTTGTACATGTATTACTTAGAGTTCTCCAAGAGAATACACATATGCGTGTGAAATAGGATTGAATAGCTTGGCTTCAATAGTCCCGTGGCTGAATATTCCCACAATGGCCACTAGCATACCAAGGACCCATAGTAATTCACTCCAAGATGGAAGCCTTAGGAAGGAGGGGTCACGGATGAAGCCACTGTCTGATCAAAACCGGAGACCTGGAAATCCTGGGACATCATCATCGTAGATCTTCATTGAAAAGCTGAGGAAACTAGTATCGGCTGTCCGTGGGGGATTGAGGCAGTACCAAAGGAGTGCTCCGGAAAAATCAGCCTCCACATGCTTGCTGGCTTCCCCTTCCTCTTCCTTTTGTTCTTTTCTGGCTTCCCTTCTACCTTAGCTACTATCCCTCAGGCCAGCTGTCTCTGGAAATGCCTTTCCTGGCACACCCGGAAGTGTGCTTTTATAACCTCCTAGGCAGGCCTTCCTCAGTCCACTCAAATTGGCAGTCAAGACTCACCATCACAGTCCACGTTGTCTCATCTGCCAAGCAAAGTCTCCCACCACCTTGTTGGTACCCCAGCTGGAGACCTAGTCAAATGTTGTTTCTCTTTCCGATCACAGCTCCCCTACAGATACAGCTCATGATAGTAGTTACATCGCCTCCCATCATGGCGCCTTTCTTATTTCTGCAGGAGTTCTTTGTTCAGTGTTTCCTTTCTCAGGTCCGTTACCAATTCTAAAGAAATATGTATGTTTTGGAAATACTGAGATAACTGGGACTCTTTCTATCCCTTCCAAGAGGAATGCAGTCAATAGGTCCTGATAGACCTACTGCGTTGGCTGTGAGCCGCATCCATCAGGAGAGATCATCTCCGTTACCTTCACATCTCAAGCTCTCTCCAAAAGTCACGGATGCTTCATTGCTTGTCAGTGCTCATCACTTTTGTCTTCCTTTTAGATCAGCAACACACTTTGGAGCTTGAATAGGAGGGGGAAACTGAGATGGCTGTTTCTATGACTCACTTTTGCTTGCACTTTCTGAAGCTTCACTGTTTGATATGACACCCTCCTTCTAACCACATCACCTTGGCCACAGCACTGAGTCCCGAGATGAAAATGATTAAGCCCAAGCCCCTGGATAAGAAATGAAATAGTCTAGATTTGTTTTGTTTTACTAAAAATAAAAAATGCTAGTCTCTGACTGCAAGAGTAACTGCAAGCAACACCCACAGTTGAGCTAAGAATGATTGTTGAAACATGTTTACTTTGGGCACTTTTAAGAATTTTTTTTTTGAGATTAAATCTTATTACATCATGAACCCCTTCCCTTTTCTCTCTCAAACCCTTCCAGGTACCTCCCTGTGCTGTCTTTCCAAATCATGGTCTTTTTATTTTGTTTTTTTATTCAGCGCTCTTATCACTCAAAACGTTGCAGTTCATAACTCCTTGATACAAAGCTAGCTTTGTAGGAGCCAGAACCACAAGAAGAGCCTCAAACAAAGTTGCTGAGAGGTCAAAGAACTTCTGTGTCCGTGGCATCCTCCTGGGGCAGAATTTCTACCTGGAGCCACAAAGTGTTCCTTATGTCCAGAATAAAGACACGGGGAGTAAAAACACTGAGGAGAAGGTATATGCACC